TTCACTTACGTTGGCAGGACACGAAACCACCGCATCTACGCTCACCTGGAGCTTATTCGAATTGTGCAATCACCCTGAACAGCAAGATCGTATCCGCACAGAAATAGCGGAAGTACGAAGCCGGTATGCAACCAAAGGCGAACTCACGTCGGCGGATTACGATAGTATGCCGTTCATGAATGCTGTGATCAAGGCGCGTATCCTCCTTCCGAATGGTCTGCTCGCTCATTGGTTTGGTGATGATAGGAAACACTCCGGTTCCATCCTATTGTTCCTGCCCTGCTCCGTGTAGCGGCTTGTGACGATGTCATCCCGCTTACCGAACCAATCGTCACATCCACGGGAACCAAGCTCACTGAAATACCCGTAGAGAAGGGCCAGCTTGTTGAGATTGCAATCGCGTACTACAATCGGTTAGTATAAGCTCACATTTAAATTTAAGGGTACGCTCACTCGTGGACGCATCCAGAAATCCAATTGTATGGGGCTCCGATGCCGATGCCTGGAATCCGGATCGATTCTTGGGCGAACTGGATAAACAGACACCAGTTGGGGTGTTTGCCAACCTGTGAGTCTGTTATGGTATTATTCGTCAAGAAACTGGATTTCATTTCTCCCTTTTTAGACTGACCTTCAGTAAGCCGGTCCTCTGATCTTAAATGCATTTTACTCAATAGTTCCTTTCCCGTAAGGCGCTGGAGTTCGCTCCTGTATCGGCTGGCGTTTCGCGTGAGTTCCGCTTCCTTGTGGTCCATTGCTGGAGCTCATGTCGTATTGTTACAGTATTATGGAGCTCCAAGCCATTCTGTTCGAACTCCTCGAATCTTTCAAGTTCACTTTCCCCAAGGCAGGTATTGACATTAAGCGGCAGCATGCCGGACTTATGATTCCCATGGTGCGAGATGAGATGTCTAAAGGTCCTCAGATGCCGCTGCATCTGATTCCGAGTCCCATTCAGTAGTGCCAAATAATAAAAACCTTGTATCATAACCCCCCAACAATATGGGCCTGTATTAAAGCAGTTGAATACACCACCAGGAACTCCAATGTCCAATGCTAGACTCTGCATTATACATCGATATCCGGGGCAGTAGACTGTCGGTTCAGCAGTGTTGTCACCTGTCACCTGAAACTCGACTGCGCCCAAACGCGTAGATTTTTTTTTACATCATAACAGCCTCTTTTGTTTTGCGGCAGAGCCGGTAAAAACGGGTTTTCATTTCCCCAGCGATTTCGTGTAGCATATAGTGCAATGCGCAACCCTACAACTAAGTTCTGAGTCCTGAGTCCTGAATTGACTCCGTATTATTGTCGAAATTCTGACCCAGAACCCAATGATGGATGACTCTCTGACCGGGAGTCGAGTCCAGCTTTCGCGCATCAAGAGGCGATCTGAGATGACAGGCTCGTGTACGCCGGGATCTTTGCATGTAATTTTGCTTGTACAGAGAAAAGATGTAAGATCTGTGGAAAGAGGCTCAAAAATCCCCGCTTTTTGTGCGGCAGAGGAACTTTTTAACTGGAGCAAAAAAAAACTGGTCAAACGATCGGTACGAAAAACGCTATCTTTGGCTCAGTATTTTCTCACGCAGGTAGAGGCGGCCCAAGATGGTACCTTTTTCTGCACAAGCTCTTGAGCAAAAAGACTGGCACATATCACAGCCGTGAACATCCAAATATTGCCGATGGCAGAAGCGCCTGACGGGAACCAGTCCGAATTCCGGAGAAACCCCAAAAAAGTATGTAATCGAACGGATGTCTAGTATTCTCTCCCAGCGTAACTCCCATATCTAGTCCTCGGTTAATAACTTACCGTTCATTGACACTACTCAGACCTTTTGACAAAGAATCCCTTCTTCGTGCTGGGCCGTTGACTCAAATTTGCTTATGTCCGAGAAGCCTTTCGCCCTCGCCACTGGTGCAACGCGGTTCACTCCAGGCCCGATTTCTTTTGCTCCGTGCTGGTATGGGAAAGAAGTTCGATATTCTGGAAGAACCGTGTTACTTTCTATTTGATTATTTTCCATCACTGCACTATACGTTTCGACTATAAAGCTCATGCTGTCTAAAGCTCAAAGATGTATCAACCATGGAGCACACTTCTCTACTCATTGTCGCGCTTCTTGCCATCACCATCACTGTTTTAATTGCCAGACGAAGGCATTCTGTTATCAAGCAGCTTCGAGGTCCTCCGGTGGACTCTTGGCTTCTCGGTGGGCATCACCGTTGATTTCTGACCATGCGTATTTGACCTCGGGCTTTCAAGGTCATGATTACGCCCTTAACCATCAAGACCAAGTAGGCGATCTGCAGTTTGCTTGGTTTCGCGAATACGGTACGGCCTTTCGTGGAGCGGCTCCCTACGGTGTAGTTATCTTCATATATTTCCCAGTAGAAAGACTGTTGATTCCAAATCCAGCAAAGTGTATTGGTCCTCGGCGATCCGAAAGGTCTACAGCATGTCCTTCATGGTTCTGGATACCGTTATACCAAACCCCTCGACTCGGATTATAACACGAGCATGCTTTTTGGGAGGGGATTAGCTACAGTAGCTGGTGCGTTTACATCGTAAAGATCTCACTGGCGCTTGTCACTTGAACTTATCTTTCTAGGATCTACTCACCAACGGCATAGAAAAGTTATGAATCCCGCATTCTCTGCAGCACAACTTCGGACCTTCCTCAGTCTTTTCCAACGATCAGCAAAGAAGGTGCGCTGATAAATATTTGTTCATCGCATGTAGCCTGACATTACCTATCTAGTTCTCCGGAAAGCTCATTGACGTTGTCGAAGAAGGACAGTCGAGTATTAATATAGCGCCGTGGCTTGGAAAGCTGACTTTGGACATTATTGGAGAAAGTGAGTCCGTTCTGGAAGATACCATTATTCGTTACCAATGATTATTAAAGGTGCCTTCGGGTATCAATATGGCGCACTTGATGACGAAAATAATAAACTAGCCAATATACTGAACAATTTATTGTTCGTAGTACCTACTTATTGGACTACTATTTTTTGCTAATTCTTTTCCAGTTACAACTCGGAACTCTTTCTTTCGCGTGCTGAGATACTGTTCTCAGCGTTGCCAAGAGTCCTGCCAAAGCCTCTACTCAAAGTCATGGATCTCATTCCTTCCCGACGAAGAAAACACTTCTCGAGTTTCAATGTCGCTGCCAAAAAGGTCGGACAGAAACTGCTCAAGGAGAACATCGAGGGGAATGATTTGGATTCATCAACCGGCAAGGATGTTCTGAGTATCTTAGGTGGGCTGCTGCAGTTAGTTGCAATGTACTTGAGCTCATCGAATCTTATAGCGCGGGCGAATTCTCAGGAAGAAGAGAATAAACGATTGAGCGATGATGAGGTCCTTGCCCAGATAGCGTCGGCTCATCTCTTTTCATCTTGGTGCCATTATATTGATTATTGGTGATGATAGTACCCTTACGTTGGCAGGACACGAGACCACCGCATCTACGCTCACCTGGAGCTTATTCGAATTGTGCAATCATCCTGAACAGCAAGATCGTATCCGCACAGAAATAGCGGAAGTACGAAGCCGGTATGCAACCAAAGGCGAACTCACATCGGCGGATTATGATAGTATGCCGTTCATGAATGCTGTGATCAAGGCGCGTATCCTCCTTCCGAATGGTCTGCTCGCTCATTGGTTTGGTGATGATAGGAAACACTCCGGTTCCATCCTATTGTTCCTGCCCTGCTCCGTGTAGCGGCTTGTGACGATGTCATCCCGCTTACCGAACCAATCGTCACATCCACGGGAACCAAGCTCACTGAAATACCTGTGGAGAAGGGCCAACTGGTTGGGATTGCAATCGGGTATTACAACCGGTTAGTATAAATAGCCTTAGTGTTCGCCCGCTCACAAAGACTTCCAGCAATCCAACCGTATGGGGCTCTGATGCCGATGTTTGGAACCCAGATCGATTCTTGGGTGAACTGGACAAGCAGACACCAGTTGGGGTGTTTTCTAACCTGTAAGTCTCTGTGGGTATTATTCGTCAAGAAACCAGATCTCATTTCTCATTTTTGTAGTTTGACCTTCAGTGAGTTGACCTTCTGATCTTGAAAGTATTTCACTTAATAGTTCCTTTTCTGTAAGGCGCTGGAGTCCGCTCCTGTATTGGCTGGCGTTTTGCGTGAGTTTTCATCCCTCACTTATTATATGGGCTCATCCGCACCATTCCAGCGTTATGGAGCTGCAAGTTATTCTGTTCGAGCTCCTCGAATCCTTCAAGTTCACTTTTTACAAGGCAGGCGTCGATATCAAGCGGCAGCATGCCGGACTTATGATTCCCATGGTGCGAGATGAGATGTCTAAAGGTCCTCAGATGCCGCTGCATCTGATACCGAGTCCCATCCAGTAATGGAAGCTGTTGGTCCTATGCATAAACCATAGAATTCAATTCTCCTTTGTTGTCATGTTTTATTCCACTGAATACTGTGCAGAAGAAATGTACATACATGTTATTCTGTTCCGTAGGAAGTAAGCTTTGAAATCTGAAAACTGGTTTTCTACAACTATGTCCTGGGGTGTTCTATTTTATATTCAACATCAAGCTCATACGCGGACTGCGAGTCTTCAGTCGAAAAGTTGTACCTTAGCCTAAGACGTAAAACGGGAGTCGAGGCATTCGCGGCTACGGAAAAGGTTGCACTGGCTGGAAACCTGGCGTTGAATGAACAGATTAAACTTTCACTTCTGGGAGACACTGGTAAAATGCGGCTTGGTGGTTTTATGGGCACTTCGCATTGGTGAGCCGTGGCTTAGGGTTAGTTCCTGCCCGCTCAGATACGAGTTCGGCCAGTATATAATAAAGCCGGGCATTCCAGGTTATGCCTTATCATAACAGTAAAGTGCCACCTCAAAACCCTGGGGAAGGTGTTGGTAAAATACAGTAACTAACCCCTTGGTCTTTCGATGCGGGCCCGCGTGTCCTACAAATGTTCTAGGAACCTGGGAGAAAATGTAATATTAGTTTCTCTCTGAATGGGAGTCGAACCCAGCTTTCGCGCGAAAACCTTAACCATACCAGCTATGACAGGCGCGTGTACTAACCGATATACTACCAGAGATGCTCTATCCTTCTTGTTATATTATATGATCAGGTTTTGGCCTAAGTCTGGAACTGTTTGACCCACCGCAAGCTGTGGTCTGCACGTCCACCATGCAATGGTCCACTCCGGGCTTTTGGACTTTATTTCTATCTCTTGTCGTGCAAACCCTCGCTATTTGGCCATTCTCTCCAAAGCGATTCACTGGAAACTCGCTCGTTAGCGCTGGGTCGAGAGGAATAGTACTCGGTGAAAGGGCGATTGCATTCGGGGACTTCAATGGCGACCAATTGTACGTCATGGCGCAACTATCTTGTCAATGTTCTGACTGTGAGCGCAGCCTAGATGTTCTGATGCTCGATGAGGACCGTCAGACGCTGATTGTGTACCTCTGGGACCATGGTGAGCGGCATATTCGTACCGAGGGACGAGCAGGGACGTGACATGATTTTTCGCAGTGGATTTTTCGTTCAAGGAATCTGCCTCGTTCAGACATCCAGTAGTGGTGGAGAACGTCGTCCCCGGCGACTTTACGCACTCGGGAAAGCTGGATTTGTTGGTTATGGGTCGCAGCAGAGCCGGCAGCACTGTTGACATGGTGCTGTACCCCGCATTACCCGGCGGTGGCTTCGGTGTGTACTGGATATATGTGCTATGTTTACCTCTGACTTTACCCTAGATGTGGCGAGCCCAATTTCCGTGGCGTCTTCCAAGGCCCCTCAACCAATACCCATCGATTTAGACGGCGACATGAAGATTGACCTCTTGGGAATAACGTCCGATTCTGACAAGCCATTGAAGGCATGGCAAAACGTGTGGAACGCCTCGCAGGCGCACTCACCAGTGTTCAACATGTGCGCTTCGCCTGCGCATGTTGTTTTGTACTAACAATTTCGCAGCATTGATCCAGAATTTCATGGCACACAGTGTACCCTTGCTTCTCCTCACAGCAATGCAGTCGTGGACCTCAACGGTGATTGCCTTGCAGGTGCGTCTGCAATCTCCTACAGGAATACCAACCTAACCGATCATAGACGTCTTCCTCGTATGCGATGCCGGCGGAGGCAGGCGGTCCTTCCAGATCTGGGTTAACGAGAAAGACGACGGATTCTATCTCGCACAACAGGGCACTCTTCCTTTCGGCGTCCAAGCCATCTCCTTTGCCGACATTGACCGCGACGGAACCATCGACATGATATTCCCCACCTGTTCCTCCGTATCAACCTCCAGCGGTCTTGGAAGCAACTGCTATATAAACATCGCCTACAACAAGCAACTCCCTCTATGTGCCTCATCCACCCAACCTTCTGTTGTCAGAGGTGTTCGCAAATGTCGGTCCCCCGAGAACCTATGCATCGCGGATCCAGACTTCAACTATGACTTGAGAGATAGTAGCGACAACGACGCCTTTGCACGGTTTCCTGTGTCTTCTCTCGGCAGCGGCTCGCTCCTAGTCCTCGACACTTCGCTTTCTCCGGCGGCGCCTCTGCCTATCAAGCTAGGTGACGCCAACCTGGACGGGTTTCCTGATCTGCTACTCATAATCGACCACATGCCAAAGCTCGTGTTTTCAGTACCGTGCGAGAAAGGCGTGACTGGTTGTGCCAAGGACGGTAGTGGAAAACGGGGCTGGCGTGTCGAGAAAAAGGGCGCGGAAGTGCTGGATTCCATCAAGGACGCGCGAAGTGTATCTTTTGTGGACATGGATGAAGATGTAAGGACCTTTTTTGCCTGTGCGTTATTGGCTACTTATGTCACTTCTAAAGGGCACATTGGATGTTATGGTGCAACGATCTGGTTCGGAGAAAATACTGTTTGTGCAGAACAACTTTTACTACGACGCATTCTTCCTCAAGGCTATCGGTATGTCCTTCATATGGTCGTTTTTCGACGACATTAATACATTTCCCAGTGTTGAATGGCGCATGCAATAACGGATGGTGTTATGGTCCCAACGGAACCCAATATCATGTATGTACATCCTTCAACAGCGCAATGATCTCGGCTGACCTTCCCCTAGCCATTCGGTGTGAGCTACTCTGGCGCCTCATACAAGTACACCATCCTCGACACCTCTGGCCGTCGCTCCGCTGCGCAAAGTACGAGTTTTCCTTCCCTCACCCCTTCCTAACTAACCTTATCCACTTGATACAGTCGGCCAGCTCCCCCAGACATCCTACCATGCACTCCAGTCGCCGTATTCCTTCTTCGGCCTGGGCCGGACGAATAACTACATCGAGAATCTCTTCGTCGGGAGTACAATGCATGTGGAGGAGCATTATATCAACATTGAGGGTGTCATTCCCAACTCAAAGGTAGTTATACTACCTGGACTGGATGGTGCCTGGAAGAGGCAGCTGTTTTTGAGACCGGGCAAGTGGATTCCGTGGGTGACGGTTACGGTTGTGGTGGGAACCATCCTGTTGGCAGTTATTGTGCTGGTATTGCATTTGAATGAAAAGGTTCGTTTTCCTATCTTGGGTTGGGGTGTTTCTGATAGTGTTTCGGTATACAGAGAGAGGACGAGCTGGAGAGACGGAGGGCGTCGCATCATATCAATTTCGATGCGCTGTAGGATTTTGGATATACAATTGTACAGTACATATACGCTAGTTCATTCTATCTTTCGACGGTTACTTTTGCCGTCTTTTATGAGCACGACATCCCAGCGGAAAGTTCAGACAGCTGCCGGGAGGAGCTGTATCTGAGCGAGGGTTACAAACAGCTGCCGCGAGCTTCGCTCTATCTCATGTTGTGTGGAGTTTTCGCCTACCCTGTTCGTCGTAGGTCGCTGCGGAATCATTCCATGCTGTATTTTACCAGCTCCTCGTGCCAGGGCTGACACGAAATGATGTCTAGAGGACCGGCTAACCGCAGCTCGCCATCTCGCCAAGTGTGACGATGATGAGACTGGGAATATGTTGGGGGATTTGCTCCATTATTTAACCATCAATCTGAACATTAATCTTAACGAAGGCGATCGCGCTGTTCACTAATATAAGAGGAGGCTTCCGATGATTACACTTCCCTTCTTAACGGAAAATACGGAGACCTCGCACTCCATGATGCCGTCGCCCTCGTACCTCGCTTTGACCAGACCAGAAGGAGGGATGCTGATATCTTCAGATCCAGGTTTCGGGCAAGTTTCGTGTCTAAATAAAATATGATGATGATGAGGTGATCTTAATTTGGAAACTTCTTTACCCCGGTCTTCTTAGTATTTCCTCTCTAATTTTCGTCGTCGATTTCTGTACGCCTTCTCAATCTGTTACTCCTCTACATTATGGGCATTGTGCTCATGGCTAGTCAGTAGTAGTTTCACGGGTCCATTACTTAATGATGAAGCCTTGAAAGATTTTCCTTTTTGTGAATCACGTATTTTCTCGGTTTCTTCCCCGAAAATGGACGACCAATCCTACTTGTCATCCATCGCTCTTCTATAATTCTTACCGACCACATATCCAACAATTTGAAGCCAACAAGATATCGCTCGCACCGCCAGAATATTGCCCTACACTTGAAAATCAGTTTCAGCACTGCCACCCTTTCTAATGAATCCAGCTAACTGACTGCGGCAAGTATTCCCGTACCATAGTTCAAGTCTAAACTCTATAATAGCACGGACTTGAACTTGATCAACCGTAACCGCTAGAGGAGAATTACCAGTGCTCTGGGTTGACCCGGCTGATCGGTAGATTCGGACTCATAGCGACGTCGAACCCGACGCTTTGGTACCAAGTTGAGCACTTCAAAATCTCACCTTCCACCGCCGTATCCTTCAACATTACCTTCAAGTGGTCGTTTCCAAAAATGCTCGTATTGCCTAGAGGCAAACGCATGCTGTTATCTCAATCATATAATCATATTTGTCCCGGGAATTTGCGAACGGGTTCACACCGCATAAAAGGGCGACTGCGGCAGAACTCTTCTGCACTTGTTCTCCCTCAATGATATGGGGCTCTCATCATCTATCAGTCCTCCCTCAGAGCTCCGAAAGTCTCTTAAATTAAGCTCTACGGACAATCCACCATTGACAGCACCCTTATCTCCCGCGCGGTCGGCTCCCAATGTCCCTGACTTGGAGAACTCGCTGTCGACGGTCAACACCCCAGTTGACGATCCTTATGGGCTGAGAACTGCTTTGCGAGACCCGGACGATGTGGCTGCTCTGTGTAAGCGGTGGAGCCTGCGTAAACAACGACATATTGGGAAGTTTTACGAGACGCAGAACAAGAAGATTGATGCCTTGTTGAAGGTTTGTTTGGTTCGTGGTCATGGGAGTGTCTTGTACGATGACTTTTTTTCTCTCGCATAGAATATGGAGAGTCACGCTCAGGATGAGAAAAATGACACGAGGGATAACGCTTTGAAGGTATGTACTATGTCTATGTGTCACATGTACTCTGGGAACGTGGCTCATGGTCTGAGTAATTGCAGGTCAAAATCGCTGTATACGCCTCGTTCACTGCGAACTGCACACTATCTATTCTGCAGCTCTATGCTGCTATATCGTCTCTCTCTCTGTCATTTTTTACTAGTGAGTTCAAGGATGTGTCCGAGTCCGTGTGTATAATCGACTGACGCCCGTATAGCTGCTGCAGATTCAGTGTCTGATCCCCTCGCGAACCTGCTCCTGAATTTGCTCCACCGCAAGTCGAAGCGTGTGGACTTTGATAAATATCCTGGCGTATGTGCTGAGTGCATTCGAGGCGGATCTTTTGTTAACATACTTACTCGCTTCATCAGGGTGGCGCTCGTCTGACTACTATCGGCAATATAGTGTATTCGTGCGCCATGCTTTCTGTTAGCGTTCTTCTCATCGTACGTCTGGCCCCTGCTTAGGATGCTTTTTGTGACTGACCAGGATATTGAAATCAGGCTTTCTCTGTCCAAGACCTAGCCACTCACAAGGGCGGGGATACTCTGGGTTTCCACGTTCCCTCGGTCATTGCTGTTGGCGTCGCTCTTGGTAAAGAGGCTGCTTTCCTTTGTCACAAGTTTTTCTTAACAGATATGCATGC